TATAACTGAGTGGCCACGACGTGCGCGCCAAAACGAGCTTTCCGGATTATGGTCATGATCGCGATTCTGATAACCGTAGCCAAAGTTATGGCCAAATTACCGAAACACGAGTTAATTGCCAAAGTTACGCGATCACTTGCCATCTACCTTAAAGCCATTAACATGTTATCTGACAACTCAGCATCTGACTCGGACCCTCCTGCATAAGATCCTTGATTATTAGCCATAATAATTTCCACGGATTTATCCCTGACGAAATTGGTAATTTAAGCCAGCTTCGGTAAATAGAGATGCAAGAAAATGAGCTAAATGGTCATATTCCTACAAGTCTTGGATTTCTTGAAAATCTATGGAAATTAAATATGTCTTATAATGGACTCACCGGAAATATTCCTAACAAGATTTTCAACCTCCCTTCTCCTATTGAAATTGGTTTAGTTAACAACAGTCTCTCAGGAAGTCTACCTTTGGATATTTGCTACAATCTTCCGAAGCTAGAGAGCCTAAGGCTTTCAGGGAATCAAATAAGTGGCAACATTCCTCCAAGATTAGGAACATGCCTGAATCTTAAAATACTTTCTTTGTCGTTGAATAATTTTACTGGAAGCATTCCGACGGAAATCGGGAATTTGTCAAAGCTTCAAGCTCTCTATCTTGGAGGAAATAAATTGATAGGTACGTTTAAAGCATTAATTTTCATAGACATATATGATATATCTCCCAGTTCATCAAATAATATTTCCACATTTTTTGAAAATTGACCAATATTGTTGTCCCTTCACATCATAAAACATCTCTTACATGCATAGTGATCCGTGCGTTGATGGCCATGGATTATGTCCTTTTACATAGCTGCTCTAAAAGTTACGTATGTACTTACACCTGAAACCTCCATTTTGCATTCTGAAACCAAAAAAAAATTGGCCCATAAATTTTTCTTGCAAAAGCATGTGGAAAAGTCGACCAACAAACCAATATAAAGAATTAAAGATGTCATCACACCATTTTAAACCACCAAAAAAAAAGGGAAAAAAAAAAGAAAAAGAAAAAGCAATATTTAATATGACTTGATTGTACAATGAATAAAATCAGCTTCGAGAAATGTGTTTCTGCATGTATAGCATTTTCCAAATATTTGTTAGAGATACATCGTAATAGCATCAAATCCTATGTACGCTTGGGATGAAGATGAAACACTGCTTGTTAGTGATACATCGTAATTGCATCCTAGGTAGTCCTCATTATAATGTTTAGTCGGTCTTTTATAATCTTTTTCATTATTAATTGGATTTAGTTTTCTATTATTTTTTTTTTAGTTGGAGGACCTAGGACACAATTTCAGTTAAGAAAAGTCTAAATTTAAAATGATCACATATAACAAAAATTTTTATGCTGATGGAAAATCTAAATGACAGATGTTTTTCAGCATGGACGGCATTTCCAAATAATTTTTAGGAATACAACGTGCAACAATAACTTCATAGCTACTTAGTTATCGAAATCAGATTAGTTTGTACTTCTTCTAGTTAATTAGATCTATTTTGTGTTAATTTAACATTTGATGTTTTAAAATCTATATGTTTAAATGGAATGACAGGACATATTCCAAAATGAAATTGGAAACCTATCAGCACTTGTACGGTTAGATTTGAGGCGCAACAGTTTGAGTGGTACATTACTAGATTTCCTAAACATATTTTATATATTGAGTCAAGCGTTCTAAAAAATATATAACGTGTGGCTATACGTCAGGTCAAATTTCAATAATTTTATGAGCCTAAACGAGCAAGGCATAAAAAAGTATAAACTGTGGTTGCGGCAAGACTCAACTCCGTGC